ATGCTTGTTTCCCTTTACCACCTTTCCCTTTTAATGTATCCTCCCCAAATATTTCCCCCCACTTGGGTTCTAGACCTATGTTTCCATAATAACATGGACCTGAAAAACATTGCAGGAAAAACATTGGTCAAGGTAAAGTTGTTTTCCACTGCTCAGGTGCTGATCATCTCTTCCACTTTGTGGGAAAGAAGTGGGTTATACAGTTTTCCTAGTCAAGGTGGCAACATCACATGTACTGTGCTAGTACAATTACTGATACTTGATGTGTGGAGGACATTGCCAGGATTGAATGCCCGAAAGCTGACTATATAGAAAGTATGATGTTACAGAAAGTATATTATTTTCATACTCCCCTGGACGATTAATCCATAAACTTTTTTTCCACAAAGCCTCCTCTCTTCAAAAGATGAATGTACATTTACCCCTAAATGGACCACTGATTTGCTCTCAACTTCTTTCTACCCCAATTTCACTTCCCAATTAATACCACTTTCAGAGCTTAATCCTGTTCAATAAAATTAGAACTACAGTTGTTCTTCAGAAATCTAGTTTCTGACAGAAGTTGCTGCACTGTTTTGAACTTATCTTGAATTACTAGTTATTGAGAACAATTACTCAACTAAAAAACAGGCAGGGAGGCCCTTTTTAAGCCTCTTTACAAGCTAGTGTCCTCATGAATTGTAACCTATAGGCATGCATGTTAACAATTCCATTACAACAGTTGGAGATTCATAATGTACCCACCAATATGAAGTTTGGTAATAAGATTCCTTTGGAAGGAACTTCTAACAGCTTCTTTATATTAAGGGCAGCAGTTTACTTGTTAGTACAGGCAGGTATCAGTGAATTATCAAGTGCATTAAAAAACAATAACTGTGATTTTAAACTTAGATACCCTTGTCACTGATCACTATTCATTTTTGAACAGCTCACCTAAAATTCTTTCTTTTCCTTCCAATTTCTGTATTTCTAAGGTAGAAATTGTGGTACGAAAAGATTTTACTGTTTGCATGAGGGCAGTAGCGAATGATGGGGAAAAGTGCCAGTTTGGATTGCTATAAAATGGCTTTTACTTTGTCCAAAGCGTTGACGTAGTTGAACTTGCTTAACAGGATGCAGATCAGTCTGGTATTCTGGTGTCTACATTGCCCAGTGGTTATCATCCATAAGCAGGAGCCACTGCTTCATCTGTTCCAGGAGCAGCCAGCCCCACCAATTATTCAATTATTATTTATTTATAATTGAATTCATACTCTGCATTAATCAATAGTCTAGCAGGACTCTCTGGGTGGATAATTGCACAATTATGTTGTTCCAATGGGGCAAACCTTTTGCACAATGACGATTGAGCACCTCTTACGTCAGACCCCCAAACAAGCAAAGAATCAAGGCAGGTCAGCAGAACTCTTATGTGAATGTTGCCATTCTGCCCCACTGCAGAAACTAGCATTTCTGCTAACTTTTGGGTACCCTGTGGAAGCACAGTGTACAAGTGGCGGGCCCTGCTTGTGCAAGAGAATCAGCTGGATTGGCCTTTTGTGGATGATCACTACTTAATGGTGCCCAGTTTGTGTAACATTTTTTAACTAACTGAATAGTAAATGATGACAAAGCACCTTGGGAAGAAAAGTTTCTTACAGTCATCCTCTCACCTCTTGTCAGACACACACCTTTAAATTATTCCTCATTGATACTTATACCACTGGCATGCCCCTGACAGTCCCCTGAATTGCACAGCACTCTTTCTTCATCTGTTACCTACATCTGCAACCACCTCAATTAACTAGTTAGGGGGGAAGTACCTTCATGTAGTCTAATTCAGATATTGATCTGGTAACAGTGGCAGGTTAGCTTATGAGTAGCCTTTCCATAGTTAGGTCCATGTGATCTTGGCACTTTTGAACAGTTTGAAAAAATTGAATGATCACTTGAGACAAGTATTGCTTCCCTTGATACTAGGACCTCTATGCAGCTGTAGGAAGCAGGCTGTGAATAATTGTAACATCTGTAGTCCTTTATTTGGCCCAAACATGTACAACATTGTTGGCAAGGTTTTGATATCTGTAGATTTCTTTGTAGGGCAAGATGGGCTGCCTGGGCAAGAGAGAAAAAGAAGGCTGACGTAATATTAAAGGCATGATTTAAGATGGAGTAGAAGAAAAGGAGCAGACCTAAGTATTATTTATTTGCTTCTACTAGGTGTTGTCCAGGTTACACTTAGGATTCTTGGTATTAATAAAAAAATGGATGTTTTCCCCATTTCTGAAAACATTCAGATTTGTCTGTAATGTGGATTTCAAACATTCAACTACACTCTAAATTCAATTTAAGTGCTTAGAATACTAAAATATCCACAAGTTTTTGCACACCCATATAAGATCAACCAAATATGTTCTTCCTATTTTCTACTGCTAAGTTAAAAATTTACAGATACAGATCCAAGTAAGTTGCTCTAACACAGATTATTTTCTCCACCCCATCCCACCCCTGCCTGGTTTTTTCAGTGCTTACACATTAAAAGAATGTATGAATTGTTTATTCTGACAAATCATGCTGTTGTTTACTTCCATATAGATATATTTCCCTTTAACTTAGTTGAGAAGGATTTTTACAGAAAACTTAGAGTGAGAAATAAGTAGATTTTATTACATATTTTTATAAGATCTGGTCAGTATTCCACGTGGGCCATTACACAAGAATGGCCCACTGCTGAGTCTGTTCCTCTTGTAGTGGCCACTGCTTGTGCAGTAGAGATTTTGCTTTTCTTCTAGGAACTGGAAATGAGCAGAGACACTAATTTTTAGAACAGGACAGGTTGACAAAGCTTGCAGAAAGGAGTTCTACTGACCTGCCCCAGTCAAGAAACAGGTAGTTTCATTTATTTGGGGTTTCCTAGAGGTGCAAGTGGTGGATGCTGCCTGCAGAATATAATCAGAGGTGGCTCCTAGTTGCAGAGTGGAATCAGAGCCCCCCTCCCCTTGCAGAGAAGCCCTGTGCATATTGCCCTCTGTATGCATGGAAAATACATTGAATAAACTCATACAAAAGGTCTTTATCCAGATCCCATCTTCTTTTTTAATGTCTAAATAGTTTAAAGCAGTGGTTTTCAACCTTTTTACATCTGGGGACCAGCAAAAATAGGAAAATTATTTCAGGGACTGAGGCAAAAATAAAAAGCATTATATACATAGTATTTTGTGTATTAGTTTTTAAATATAATACCAAAAAATTAAAATTATCTAAAATAACCAAAAACCAAGCAGTAAAAATGCTTATAAAATACAATATTGAAATTAAATGTAATTGAATAAAACTGAAATTTTTAGAGAGCAATATTTAATTTAAATAAGGCTACTGGGAAATCTGCTGTTGCTTCTTTTCAAGAATACGTGATCAAAGATTTACAACTGCAAAATGCAAAATCAATATAAATGCAATACTATACTCATAGCAAATACAACTTCAACCCCACACAAAGCCCCAGACATGCCAGCACAGATTAGGTAGGAGAAAACACACTCAACACAACCCTGCCTCAGCACAACACAGCAGAAAAAGCCCTGGTCTTTGGGACCCTGCCCAGAGGGAGGACCCTGTGTGGCATGGCTCCCGGCTGGCTCCTGTTTGGCTGTCTCTCCCCTCCTTGGCAGCACCAGCTCACTACCTGCAAACATAATGCTGAAGAAGAGGTGGTGAATGTGCAGGGAGAGTGCAGCTGGCCCCTGCACTGGTCTGCAAGCCGGGTGCAGCTCTTTCACGGTCTGGTGCCAGTCCATGGAGTGATAGTTGCAACCACTGCTTTAACAGATATCAGTTTAAAATATTGTGAATGTTTGGCATGGTTTTTAAAACTGCTTGTTTTTGAGACTGTAGTACTTTACTATAATAAATTACAAAATGGCCACAATGAAGAATTAACCTTTAGTACTGTAGTAGGGACGCAATATAACAAAACTGGTGTTATGATTAGACTAGATCAGTGAAGGTCAAACTAGAGAAGATGTTGGAGATCCATGACTGGAACTCCTGCCTGTTCAACATTTTTGTGAAAAAATAGCCACTGGGATAGGTTCAGTTAAGGCTTTGGTGGTAGGAAATTTTTCTCTAATGAAAACTACACTGCTCCAAGATTCTATATGACCCTTTGGATAAATGCATGAGTATCCCTCCAGCCATGCTGTGGTTCCAGGTTGAACCGACACCCCCATCATGCTTGACTTTTTAAAAAAGTACAGGTCTGCTCATAGAGCTAAATATCATCCAGTTTGTCCTAACTTACAAACTGCACTGTACCATTATGCATCTCAGGGATAGAAAGACACACTTCCAAAGCTATTGCCGTTTTGGGATTGCTTTGCCCACTTCCAGTAAAGACAGCACAATAGCTACCTGAAGTTATATTTGTACCCTGTAGACCAATGTTTTCTAAACTTCTGATACTGGAAGCACATCATTTTTAAAGTAAAATTAATTGTTATCCTCTCAATGGCTTTTAAACTATGAAAAAGTACAAATTACCAACCTCATGTTTCTCACTGAGATGTTATTCTGACTGTGCCTTTCATAGGAAGGAGGCAGAGTGAGGCAAGAGATGCAAAAGAGCGTGATTCTAGTGGGTGCAGGCACTTTGATTAAGCTTCCCAATGCATTTTGAGCATTTAGCTCTTCTCAGGGGAGCATTACATTTTGGAAGACTTCTTTGTGTGGGATCTAGAATGAACTGATCTGAGTAAAGTTATTGTAGGAGACAGTGTTTAGCAGCTCCTTCTGGAGGCGATTAGAAAGGGAAACATCTAAAAATATTTCTGTCTTTTAAAAGAGCTAGTGCTCAAAATGGTAGTTCTGGGACCATGCATGCCATATTGTAACTTTTTGATAGTGTTTTCCCTGATTTTGATAGAGGAACTGTTGTGTGCCCAGGGTTCCAGGAAGAAATCATTATTAAACATTGCTGTCATGCTACTGACTGTGTATATTTTTTCCTCTGATTCTTTTTGTAGGCAACAAGTCCAAGCTCTTCTAGGACAGTTTAGCCAAGCAGAAGACTTGTTAAGATCTGTTGGAGTGCAGCCAGGGAGTCTGGACGGAGTTCTGTTGGATGCTGGTTGCTCTTCTATGCAACTTGATACTCCAGAAAGAGGTTTTTCCCTACGAAAAGATGGCCCTTTGGACATGAGGATGGATGGTGACAGGTACTTATTGATAAAACATTTCTTCCTTCAACAAGAAATCAATAGCTCAACAGCTTGCTGAATTTAATTTCCTTTTCAGATTGCAGAGCTGGGATCACATCCCCATATGTACCTCTGCACATATGCAATACTTAGATCTCCTTTGGCAAAACAGATTTCTGAACATTCTGCATTTTCTCCTATATGCCATTTCTCCCCTTTGCATTGAGTGTTACAAAAGTTGGCAAGGTTCTCAATCTGGCATTTAAAATTGAAACTATGGGTAATGCAAAGCAAACTGTGAATAAGCAACACAAAGCTGGAATATTTGTAATAACTACACTGGAATATGGGTAGTGAGGTAATTCTTATATTAATATCTCACTTAGCCTTCAAATTTGACCAATGATAATTTTGTTCTAGGTTGCTTATAGGAATTGTAATGAAACCATTCTTCAGCTTGTGTATGAAAGCTGCCTTCCAAGCATTATTTATTTTAAAATTGTCCCATATGGATAGCTGTTGCTTACTAGTGGCTTTGTGACAAACACTTTAGTTTGCTTCACACATTTGAGTGGTTCATTATGTGCTTATATTAACAATATACTTTGTTGAATATAAGTATAAGCTGGCAAGTAAATGCAACAATAAATAGAGAAACAGTGTTAAAGAGATTTCTAGAGACAATGTCTCAGTGAACCTACTTTCAGATAAACCACTGCTGTGTAGTATCTAGCGTAACTAGGTAATAGATATGGAGAGCATGTTGGCAGAGCTTTTGTCCTTCATGTACACAGTAGCAATGCCCCAACATATAGAAAGGACAGAATTAAAAAATAAAAACAGAGAGGCCATTAATGGTTTAGCTGAAGAATCTTCTAATAAATTTGGTATATACATATCACTTTGGGCAGAGGTTAGCACTAAAAATCTAGTTAGTATAACCAAGAATCCTATAACCTAAGTCAAGGGCTATACAATTTGAAATCAAGACATCTTATTTCTAGCTGAGGAGAAGCAAATATTAAATCAGAGTGCGAAAGGACTTGGGGGACTTTTTGTAACTCAAAATATAAAAAAGGTACTGTAACCAAGTTGGAGTTGGTTCATTTGGTAGTGTAGAATACTAGAGGATTTTTTTTAAGAAAAAAGGAGGTCAAACAAAATAACTTGAATAAAGAGGCAAGAGAAGTAATATCTTTTGATACAATAGCCTCCTACCCTTGCTACTTTTGATAAATATAAGACATTTTCCTTATTACCTTTTGGAACACTGCTGGAAGCTCATAGTTTAAATAACTTGCCTGACAATTTTCCAAAAGAATAGCATCTAGTAAATCAAGGTGACTATGGTGCAGTCCTGTGCATATTTGCATAAAGGAGGTCCTACAAGCTGCAGCATGCACCAGCCAGCCATGCTGGTTGGGAAATACTGGGAGTGGTAGTTCTTTTTTCCATCTACATATGCATAGGATTGTACTTAAATTGACAATAAATCTCTGTTCAGTTGTCTGCATTGTAGTATCTCTTACGGATTCAGTTGCTCCAATATTTATATATAGCACTCTTGCCTGAAAGGAACATGCAGGACTCTGAATCAGAATCAGTGTATACATAAAAGCCCTCAAAAAAGCATTTTGTAAAGGCAGAGGAAGAAAAAAAAACACAAGTTCATGGTTACCATACCTGTATTCTGGGAATGTTATCCAGACTGATAATTTCTACTATCATCCTTTAGAAAGGTATACCATTTCTGTATCGTGAGACCTTTAAGTGATCATTAAATACCTCACATTTTCCTCACAGAAGATCATTTTTCATAACACCAGATGTGAGGGAAAAGGTCACAGAGATTAAGATTCTCTTTTTCTGATCAGGAAATAGATCAAGCAAAGTGATGTCTTGGAAAAATAGCTGCTTGTAAAATGAGTTCATGTCCTGGCATTATGCAAGCAGAGGCAGCCTTGGCAGTATTTTGTCTTTTTGAATTAGTTCTGAGCTACAGTGGGGGGTTTTAATCAACTTGTTATAATGTTAAAGTTTATGATGATAAGGCATCTCAACTATTTTTTGTAACTAATTAGCTGGGGTAGAGGGAGAAAGCCTCCATATGAATTAATAAGAGGATAATTGTACGATAGAAGCTATTTCTGCTTTAAAATGCTTTCTTCCTCTTATTGTAAAATCTCAGAAGCACTTGTATTTGGTGAGTGTGTGTTTGACTTTATGTCTCAATGCTGTGAAGCTTCACCCCTTGTCAATGAAAGCTGACGTCAGTGAACTAATTGGCTGTTCTTGTGCGTAGGTATCCTGACATGCCCACAGCTGCTGATGTTGTGAACGCTTTAGATCAACAGGCACTTGCGTCCATCCTGAGAACATATGGGGAGGAGAGGCATGCCAGGAAAGTAGCTTCAGCCGTTGTGCAGGCACGCAGCATCTACCCCATCACCAGAACTCAGCAGCTTGCCAGCATTGTTGCAGGTACCCTCATTAATTCTGAGCAATGTCTGAGAGAGAGAAAACATTAATCCACAAAGTCCCAGAGGGATCTATTTGTACTTGAAATCATGCAAGATCTAATCCTGTCTATCCTGCTCTGATGTCAGCTATTTTTCCACATGCTCTATCTTTTTATACTGCTGGATGCTGATTAGTTTAATAATAGACTTTACATGGAGATGTTTATAATTTTGCCTACCAAGGTGAAACCTGGGGTGACAAGAGCAGAGGGAATGCTTTATCCCTGCTGTTCAGAAGCCCTCAACTGTCCCAAATGACCAAGTTTCTGTCTTACCTTCAACTGCCTAATTTCGTTATGTGGCAAGGTGCCACAGCTGCACAACAAGTTAATAGACTGATTTCTCATTGTAAAGACAAAGTGATTAATAGGATATCTCAGTCACTGAGCTTAACAGGATGAGCTTAGCAGGTCTTACTGAAACATGATTTTGACTGCTGCTCACCAGAAACCTTGAAGATGGTTGAAGGGCCATCTGCTTCCACGTGAATGTGTTCAGAGTTTAAGACTGGGCTCAGAGAATCTGCTGCAAGTTCTTTCACCATCTGATGGTAACCAGAGATGGGGCATTTTCAGTAATGGCATCCAGCCTTTGGAATCCCTAAGCATTTTATTTTTTAACTTCTTGCAGTGATTGTGTTGATTGTCATTTATCATGATAGTATAAACTACTTTGGGGAAGCAGATAACAAACATGAGAATTTCAGGTCACTTCTCACAGATGCCTGAAAACATGGTGCTGGTATCTGGGTGCATGGTGACCTTCCAGGCACAAGGTCACCTTGCAAGTACTTCACTAAAGACATTTAGTCTTTAATGAGCTGAGTGAGTATGATTTTTATACCATTTAGCTGAAGAGAGATATCAGAGGACCTTTTCGCAGTTCACTAAGGCCAGTCATAAGCATGTTTCTAAGGGAATAGTGAATGTATATGTGAAAATGCCTTTTACTGAGTCAGACTGCTTGTCCGTTCGTCTGCCTGCCCATTCGCTGGCTCACTCACTTGCTTGTTCGTTTGTTTCATTTCATCTTTTTAACCACTCAATAGCCGAGGCTCTCTGGGTGGTTAAGAGAGGTCTAGCAGACCATCAATCTCATTTCCATCTACTGTGGATTACTGTCTATGAGCAACAGCTTCCCAGGGTCTTAAGCAGTGATTTTGCCAGTCCTGGAAATATATTTTTTTTAACTGGAGATACCAAGAATTGAATCTCGGATAGTCTGCATGCAAAATATACATATACCTCACAATTCCAAGAGAAAGCCGTTCCTTCACTGTATCCCAGGATGATACAGTTTACTTCTTCACTATAGTAAACCTGAGCCAATCTACACAAGCATTTTATCTTGGTATCCTAATGACTGGTTCAAGTATAGGACCCACAGTGTTGCTCTGTTTCTCCCTTAATATTCCATTGTTTCTCAAGAAATTTTATGGTGGCTACCTGGGACTTGCAGTTCCCAGATGCCACAAAGATATGCGTGTTCCAGTCTAGCAATATTGCATCTCTTACTAGTGGATATGGCTTTTAGACTTGGAAACCTGTTCTGTAACATTTTCCCAAACTTTCTCCATGTTCTCTTTCTTCCTCTAACCCTACCCTGAACCCATCCCTGTGCCTATAAGGCAGCAAATACAATTTTATAGAAGAGGTCTTGAATATCTCTGACTAGTGGCAGAATACTTCCCTGCAGACAAACTGTAGCAGTTGATGTTCCAGAGAAATTGGATAGGTATTGCAAAATTTCCTTATTACCAGTTCTGGAAGGCTGCACATTACACTTTTGATTTGCTTGCAGTAATCAGGATTGTTAAAAACTGAGGATGCTGGATCCATCAAAAGGTAGAGTTTGTCTTGAGGCCTTTTCTCAAACCCAAAGTTAAATGGCTCTGGCTGCAATGCTATACATATTTGCCTGCGAATGGGGCTTAAGTCTAAGTAAACACAATGATGTACAAGATTTTGTTGTGTGTATCAGTGATAATGTAGTAGCAGTTAAAAATGATCTACCCATTACTCTATAATTCTCAGTTTCTCTGAAAACATGCATTATAGTGCTATCTTACTATTATTATTATGCCATTTAGAAATGGCTAGAAACCCTTTTAAAAATCTTGTATGGTGCACTCAACACATTTTCAATATTAAAATTTATTTAGATCATCCAACAACCATTCAATTTATCTCTTTCCATTAACATCAGATTATTATCTGCAAAGATACACTAGTCTCTTCCAGCAGCATAAACTTTTCAGGACTCTTTGTTATCAGATGGCTAAAACGTTTTCTAAGTCTTTCTCTGTTACCTGGGGCAGAGCAAGAGCTATAGGCTGAACAATACTTAGAAAATACATTACCTCTATCTCTGGCAACTTAGCAGAGGTCTCGCATGGGAATACTGGGAGAATACAGAAAATCTTCTCCCAGTGCCCCAGCCTTCCCATTCAATGTCTCCTCATTCTTAGTGCACAAAGCGCCTAGCCAAGCAGACCCTTCAAATTGTCATCAATGGATTATGTGGCCAATGTGAATGTTTTACTGGCTGTCAGGATGCAGAGAATATATAGGTGCTCAAGCATTCAAAACCTTCTGAAGAATGGACATTGCCATCTGCTGGCAGATAATTTATCCCAGGATAGGAGGTGATTTGTCCTTTACATATAGGAAGTAAGATGCCTTCTTTGCTTGCTTCAATGTTTATGCATGAAGCCAGCTGCCTTGAAAAACCTTTACCTCAAGCTCTCCTCAAGATCTATTGGAAAGGTCAGTGCTGCACTTTTCTACATATTGATCATTCATCAGTTGCTTTGATAGATTTGTATCCCACCACTCCAGAACTTTGGCATGCCTTATAAACATAGATATGAAAAGCAACTGAAACTGTGCAAATACTCACAGAGTGGCAAATGAGAGCAATCTAGAGAGCCAATGTGATGCAGTGGTTAGAGGTGGACTGGTGGTCTCGGAGATCCAGGTTCTAGCCCTCCCTGGCCATGGAGCCCAGTAGTTGACTTTGGGCCAGTCACTCACTTTCAGCCAAACCTGCCTCACAGGGTTGTCATTGTGAGTTCTAAATGGAGCTACACAAACTGTCTTGCGTTCCTCACAAGAGGAAAAAAGCAGAATATAAATGCAATGTAATAATAATACTAGTACAATTCCAGTAGTCCAAGAGTATCAGCAATAAAAATGTTTTTATCTGGCACTGAAAGATCATGAGTGTGGGCATCAAGTATAGAAGTCTAGGAGTGAAGGAGAATTCCAAATATAGGGTGACACTACAGAAAAATCCTGTTCCCTAGTTGACATCTACTTGACCTCAGCTGATGATTAGCTCCAAAAATGTTTTAAGATACAGGCAGTCTGTGGGGTGAATCCTAACCCCAAAGATAGGGTTTTATAAGTGAACAGTGGCACCTTCAACTGCACTCAGAAATGCACCACAAGGCTTTGAACTTGTTCTGAAAATTATACAGAGGAATTCATATAATGCATCCTAGTTCTCAGCTGAAAGATCTCTATGGGAAGCCCCAGTTAGAACACATTGCAGAAGTGAAGCATGGATATTACTATTTGTATCTTGTGTAGGGGAGCTCACAGCCACTGGTGAACCAGGACATTGCTAAAAGTACGTTGTGTCATTTTGAACAGCAAAATAAAGGTCAGATGTCACAACAATCCCAAGCAGAAATGTTGTCAAGAAGAGGTTGAATGCTGCCACATAGTTAGGCAGAAGTCTCAGTATTGTAGGCTGTTCAGATCTTAACATTGTTATTACTACTGCTGTTTTGCTTTATGATTTGTTGGTTGCATTGGAGGGAGAACCTTCTTATGGTTCATATTTCAGTTAAGAGTGTGTGTGTGTGTGGGGTGGGGGGGTGATACAAGGCATTTGGTAATCCCTGCTAACATGCTGGACTAGGAGGACAGAATCTTTTATCTCATTCATTCTCAATCAAAAACTATAAAATGTCTGCTATTATCTAAACTGTTAAAACGTCAAAAAGGAAAAAAAAAGACCTGGATATCTCTGTGTACCTTTTGTATTCTTTCCTAAGTCTTTCTCATCTCTCACTTAGGTGGCCGATGTTCCTTTTTACCTTTTAGCTTTATAAAGTCATTTTGTTTTCTTGCTTTTATTTCACTTTGAGAAGATGAGATTATTTATTCATCTCAGCTTGCTGGGAATGGAAGTTTAGGGACCAACAGACTTTAAGAAATAATTTTGGTTGATAGTTTTACCCAGATCTCTCCAAGTTCATGGACTTTTAATTAACAGATTGAAATTTTCAATATTGCTTGAGTTTCAGGTAGAGAGAGAGAGAGATTTACATTTATTAAGAGATCCTAGACAAAAGGACATAGGCTGCGTCACTGAAACTTATTAAATGTGATTCAGATTCAACAGGAAATTCCTGTAAACAGTTGCCCACACAGAATTAATTTTTAAACCTGCCACACACTCTTACACAGGGGACTTAAATGATGCCCATTCACAGGCACAGCACGTTGCTAATTTCATTCAGAAACTTAAAATCGTGATGCATTTTAACATGTGAATCTATTATGTCTTAAATAGCATAACCAGCATCAGGGTATCCCAAAACCAAAAAAGTTAATTTCTCTCCTTGGGATTTTAAATCATTCATCTTGCCAGAAGCGTGGTATTTTTATGAATGAAATCCATTCTGCATGCTTCCCATACAAATTTTGTTCTATTATTATCTGTAGTAAAGCCTGTTACCAAGCGAGATTTTTCTTCCATTGACAATGTAATTTTCTATGTGGAAAGGGCAGAACAAGATGGACTTTTTGTGGATGATCCAGCAATATTTCTAGATTAAGTGACTAAGAATGAAATACTGTCTTACTAGGGTGGCCATCTGTTCTGTTTTGGAGAGGAGAGACCTCTATTTGAAGGGCTGCCAGAGGACTGTATTTTAAGATAAAGGACCATAAA